GTCTATAAGAGTTATGTGCAACCAATTTTAATCCAGAGAAAAAAAGTGCGCCCCCAGGTCTCAAAAGTTTGGAAAACACAGTCCTAGAGTCATGTCATTGTATCCCAATATTTGTTTTTATTTTTTAAAGGAAAATTTGACATTTGAAAATGTATCACCAGTACAACCAATGCAGTGTCCTCCATATGAATCTGCAGACAGTCTGAAACAATGGAGTACTATGTATCTCAGAGTATTAATGGAATGGAATAAAATAATGTAATAACTCCCCTTTTCTGCACTTTAGCTTAACTTTGAAGAGACTAGGGTTCCATATTTTCAGGCATGTATTTTGGAAAGGATTATACAGAGTCAAAACCACGACTATGAATGATGCGTGAATGTTATGCTAAAACTGTATATTTTCTTTACACGAACGTATGTTATAATAGCAGAAGAAAGACTTTTGTCTAAACCTGTGCAGCAAGAAGCAGACGTTTCAGATCTTTGCAGGACTGTGGTGTTCTCTTTGCAGTAACCTTTATTTTGAAGAACAATGCCTCTTCAAACAGCTATTTATGACCATGCTGCCTATGCTCCAGCTGATCAAAAAAATGGCACACTTTGAAGTAAAAACCACAGCAAACATCAGTGCAACTTGTTTTTAGTTCAGCAACCCATTTTAAATTAGGTGGTTTTGGAACCACCCAGATACAGTAGAACCTGGATCATTTGTATGCTAAAAAGACTGAAGATCGGTATTAGGCATAGCTTGCAGACAGATTCAAAGAGGCAGTACCATATAATAAACAAAATATTTACATTTAACATAAACCAAGCCTTGACTGAAATATTTCTTAAGTAACTCTTAAACTAAGGGCTATTAAAGAGTAAATCTACCACTGCTTCTTGCTACACAGGTTTGGACAAAAGTCTGTCTGCTGCTATTACAACATACATTCATGTAAAGAAAATATATAGTTTTAACATAACATTCACACTTCATTCATACTCACATTCTTCCCCCACAATCTTTTTTTAGCAATGATTCCTCACGGGCTGTCTAGGTGGGGAAAGTCAACCAGCAAAGCTATTCTGCAATAGGTCCCCATGGACATGCTATTGCAATATAAAAGTGACTCTATTTGGAATAATTACCTTGCTGTGTAACTTGAATAATTATTCCAGAACAAGATCTGTTACATTCTGGAACAGGGTGCTCACCCAGGAAAATTATTCTAGAAAAATAGGTATAGCAAAATGGTTATTTCTGTATGGCTACTCTGGTCAATTTCCACACACACAGAGAAGTGTCAGGCTGCCATGTGGCCTTACACAGAACGTGCATCACTTGCATTCTCCAGAATTTGAAAAAAAACTTGTCCAAAAGCCAAACTCTTGTCTTATAAGCAAACAGACTGATGGTTCCTTCTATCAAGTAATATTTCAGTCCTTCATCTAGAAGGCAGTTGGCCTTCTCATGTTATGTGAGTAGGTAGGAAATATTCATCTTGGAGCTAAAAGGTTATAGGTTTTCTTTTGTGGCATCAACTTATAAAAATTTAATGAATTGATATTTTTCTAGGGTTCTCACCTTTTCCCTATACTTTCCAATGAATCAGATCACAGTTTGCAAACCCTCATCTAATTGTGCTTTGCCTCTGTCTTCTCTTTAATTGAGAAAACCACAGTTAAGCAGTTAGGTAACCAATAAATTACCTTCCATCTACTATGTTACTGACAGGAAGACTTGGCTGCTCCCTGGGTCCATAAAACAGACCACAATGGATCACAAATATTTTCTCATAAGGAAAGGTCTTCACCAGTAGCCAAAGAGTTAACAGGTTTTGAAATCTGGTTCAACTGCAGACACCTCTCCCAGTCTTGCATCACTACTCTTCCAAGTCCACTTACACATTCCTAACTCTATTTATGACTTCCTCTTCTCTTGAGTTCTGATTTGTTCAGTTCTCAAGCTGTGGGTGATGGCAAAAAATGTAACATTACCTGCCCATGATGACATATCTTTATACAACTTCAAGAAAATCTACTAAGCAAGATCCATAGTTGCCACACCTTTCAATCCCCCCGGATATTTCTAGGTGTTTCCTGATGAATTCTTGTGCTCTACTTCTGTGAAGAGACAGATAATAGATAAACAAATGCATTCCTCCTCCACACTGCTGATCCCATTCTCTTTAGGACTTTAAAATCTTGCTACAATGCATAATGATAACATCAACTTCATGGCCCACTGTGCTGTGGGGTGGATGACTCTCCCACAGCAGAGTAGGATCATAGGAAAGTAGGGCTTGAAGGGTCATCTAGTCTATCCTGATGAAGGCAGGATCATCCCTGACTAAAGCATCCCAGTCAAGTCTTTGTCTAACCTGCTCTTGAAAATTTCCAGGATGGAAATTCCACAACTTCTCTAGACAGCCTGTTTCAATGCTACTCTAATGCTAGAGTTTGGCTCATCCAACCAAGCAGATGAAGCATCATGAATCTCCTGGTATATCACCTGTGCACTTCTAGGAAGGGAGACAGAGGGATAAGACTAGTGTCATTGATCCTACTTGTATGCAAGGCATGTCTCTGCTACTGCTAAAGCCAGCCAGGGTAGGAGTAAGCCAGGGGGCCCATCTACTTAGCAACCCAGGTCCCCAAGTCTGCCCCTGGTCCTACCAAGACCTTAAAACAAGCTTAGTAATAGCACAAAGAGGAAACCATTTAATGGCTGCAATGTGTACTCTTTCCTGTGTAGGTGAGGTGAGGCTAGCACCTCAAATGGGAATATGGCTCCTCCTCGTTTTCTTACAAAAGACTAACTCTGGTTATCTATTAATCATATGCAGTCTCAAAGCTTCCCAGCCTTTGCACATCCCGATCCTTCATTCCACTCCTATGTCCTGCTTTTTTCTTTTAGCACTTTTAACATAGATCTGGTAGCAAATGCTGTTTAGACACAGATTGTATATTTGGCACTGATAACAGTGATAATATAGTCAAGTAGAAATACTTGTAGCATTCTGGGAACCTTGACTTGTTAAATTTAACTGGCTCCATTATGAATCAGGTTTATGTAGAAAAAAGTTACCAGGTAAGGCAAACAGGAAATACTGCTCTTGAATCTGCACACTGGCATTTTTTCATAATTTCTAACCATTCTGTATTATCTTTTAGAAATAAATCAACTCCACCTGCTGTTTAAATAACACCACATAAAATGGCAAATACCAATAGCATTTATCAGGGAAATAACACAAGGTATATAATACTTCCACACTTACTTCAAACATGAAAAAACTTCACACATGCACACACACACACTCAAATTGCAGAAGATGAAGCTCGAAATATTCCTTTTCATTTCTCTCCAATGCAGCTTTCAACATTTTAATTAGTATCTATTATTGTGAATACCATTTTCGATTTGTTTAAACTTGTTCAAGACTTCCAGAAAAGAAACTGATTATTTATTTTATATTCTCTCCCCCTTCAAGTTTAGATGTGCAATGCCAAACCCTCTCCCCCCCCACCTGCATTTAAGAAATGAGGTTTGATTTTAATCAGCTAAAATGAGATGGATGGATAGTAGGTTACAATTTCTCTTAGCTCTTTATATTAATTACCAAATAAAAAAGTTAATTTGGCAACATTAAGATAAACGATCAGAAAATAATGAAAACAGTCCTGTACAGGTAGCAAGTAAAGCTATAAAAAGAGCCAATCCTACAACTGTTACCCCAGCAAAACTACTATATACTTCGATGTTAGTGGGAGTTTTTTTGTCCTTCCAAATTTTGGGATCTTCATCTACTGATGTCTGAAATTAAGATTTTAATAAACCACATGGGGGAAATGGACTGATCTGCTCTCATTAGCATCATAGTTTAAACTGAAGTTGCTATCTGCATATCAGTCTTTGAGGGTGAACACAGTACTCTCCCTCAGTGAAAATATGCAGACACATGGACAAAAATGAATGTAACCTAGCTTAAAACCAAATCGGTTCCATCTCTGTTTACAGCGATGTTGGACTGTAACTGTTTACAGCGATGTTGGATCTCTCCAACAGCTCAACTGCTGTATTACAGTACCACATGGAAAGGAAAATCTTGATCTGTTAAAAGTAACTGTCTCAATCATAAAGCAGGTTTATGTTCAGAAAAAGGCAGTTTCCATCTCTGTGGGGCACCTGAAAACTATTTTAACTCAGCCATCTATTTAAAACGAAAACAGAATGTATTTGGTACAGAGCAAAAAAAATAAGAAAGAAAGAAAAGCATCCATATTATATAGAATCTAAATACAGCTAGATTAAATCATAATGAAGTCTAGCTAGGCTCTAAGCTTAGTTACCAAGAGTAGTGATTAAGCAGAATGAAAATTCTGAGTCAGCTGCCCTGCCACGTTTACTTGTCCAAAAGTGTTCCAGCAAACCATGGGGCTGTTGCTTTACAGTGCCACTCTTCTTTCTGAATCTTCTGGTTTGTATGTGTATCTAAGTTTCAGATTCGGGGGCTAGTTCTACTTACATGAGTCAGAAGATTTTTACTGGTGTAACTGAGGTCAAATTCTGGCCATTTGTGTCTGAGCACTTGTTCCGTTTGCATCAATTTCTAGCAGCATGTTTAGGATCATCTCACTCTAGGGTCTTTATCTAATTCCAAATGTAGGTCCTCTGTGCTGTTCCATTAGCACAAAGGGATTGTAATGCTGCCCTATGAGCCTAAACCAATATTCATTAAGTCAGTGAGAGTTTTTCCATCAACTTCAATAGGACTTAGATCAGACTCTAGGGCTAGGGACACAAATTAGACAAACTGGTATAAGTGATTGGAAACCGGCTCAGACAAGTAACACAACAGAAGTTCCATGCACATAAACCAGTTTCAAAATGGTCAAAACTGGTTTAAGATAAACCTATGCAGTTTAGCTTGCACAGGAGAGCCCTAGCTCTGTGTCAGGAAAGGGAAACCATACTACAATCAAGCAATCCCTGCTTTAAGGTGGGCATTGAAGCTAGATGCAATTGAGAGGAACTAGAGCAGAAGTGGAAAAGGCCATTTCATGGGGTCTACTCTCACCTCCAGCTCTGGCAAGGCAAATTCTGGCATAGTCTAGGAACCGCATGTAGGACATTACATAGTTGAACACAGACATATCACTCTATTTGTTTTTTTAAGTGTAGCATAACATAGTAGTTGGTATAATGCATGTCAGACAACTAGTCCACCAATGATGGACTTCAGGGCTCCGCATCTTTATAGGTCAGCAGCTCCAGCTCTGCCCAGGTCAGTAATTCTGAGCAACTGAATTAAACTGCTACTCAGTTCAACTTCAAGCATACAGCAGTCTGCATTGAAAAATGTATACACATTTCTGGCCTCTGTTGCCAGTCTTAGAAAAGCAATGGAAGACTAAACACACCCAGGGAATTATTCTCCTCAAGGTTATTTTAGACTCGGTGTGGAACTACAGCACTGGTATGGCCAACACTGTACCTATTTTTCTGCTGTTAAAGGCTTTAAGCCTCTAGGACTGCCTAGCCCATACCCTTAATGAGAACTATATTCACCTAAACAACTTAATACAGCATGCTATAAAGTTTGAGATATCTGTATCCTCATCTCAAACATATGTATTTCCTACAAGCATTACTGTTAGCATAAACATTTAGAGAGAGAAGACTATGTTCCTAGATATTTATTATCTGTTGGTAAAATTGCTTACAAAAACTCACTCTCATTCTGAAGATCTGTTAGAACACTCCCTTGCTCCCAAGTTCATTATAACTACTAATATTATTACTGTAAATCTTTCTAATGCCTCAAATGTTTGGCTCTAAAGAACATTTTTATAAAAAGGGTGAGGCAAGGAAAACTTCCCCCTCCCAACCACCTAATACATTGCTGAATTATATTTGAAAGTTCAAATGCCAAAATGATGAAATCACAATATTATATATTGGGTTTCATTTGATTATTTTGTTGGTGTGTCAGAGAAGTTATCTATAAAATGACATGAAAAGTGAAGTTACAGAGCTTTAGGGGTTTTCCAGAACTTCTCTGCACACATCAATTTTACTGTTTGACTATCCTGAAAGATTTATGCTTTGTGTTTTGAGGGCCAGGTTTTAAATGGCTTCACAAAATAAAAAAAATTAAAATTTAAATATAACTTTTAAAACGTGTGTTGGACCTTTGTGCCTTCCAAAGAGGTCAAGTTCAAGACACTTATAAAAAGACCATTCCCAGAGAGACTGCATGGGAAAGCCTATTAACATTGCTGCTATCCTTTTATTTCCCCTTTGATCATAAAACAAGGTTATGGGTGGCAAGTACTGCAATGGTGGGAAGATCCCGATTGGGACAGTGTGACTTAACTTAGTAAAAGAAAAAAAGAAGAAAGGAAAAGGAAAACTACCAGCTTAAAAAGCAAGAAGCCTTGAAAAAGAAAATTTACAAACTCAGCAGGGGGTTAAAATAAAAAAAAACAAAGCAAAACAATGTATTCTGCTAGTTTTATTTTCTTAACCTATTTTTATTCATACTATAACATACGTTAACTTCTATGCAAAGGGATTGTAAGAATTTATTGAACGAGGACAAGATCAACACTTAGCATGGGAGAGAAACAGGCCAATTTTATCTTTGTATTGCAGAAACACACCTAAACATCTTGTAATTCCTTAAAAAGCAAATCTAGCCTCTCTTCTCTACCAGTTCTGCTGCCCTTGGGATGGAGGCAACTGTTGAAAAAATGGGCAGAAAAAGTACACAGAGGCGCACACTCACTCCTTTTACCAAATATCTTGCACATATGGCATAAAGTATCTATTATTATACTCAGTATAGTCAAAGTGCCAATTACATCTCTCAGTCATACCATATAAAACTAGAAAAAATGATGTGGCCTGATTTTCATTTATACTACGGCCCGTTTACACCACGTGCAGTATAAAGGAAGCTTTCGGTAAGTGAGAATCCAGTGAGAATGTTGTAACACAGTTGTCCGACTTCTAAATGGCTGGAGGTTGAACACCCCATGGGTGCACATGTCTGCAGGCCTCACTAGTACGAGTCATGCTCCTAACCCCCAGGCTGCACATCTTCCCCCTGCTCCACTGCATGGCACTGGGCTCACTCTTAGCTCCACAGGCCATGCCACACTGCCCCCAAATCAAGGACAGGGACCAGAAGCAGAAGGAGCCCAGACTTTGGCTGCTGCTGCAGCCAGAGTGATAGAGGAAGTGATGGCTGGGCAGGAGCTGCCAGTTGAACAGCCCCGCTGTAAGAGAAACATGGCTTTGATGGACTTATGCCAGACTTAGATCAGTAACTGAAAGCAGGACTTGGCTCTTTGAATACCTTCATTAGAAACATCTTATTGTCATGAATATCTTAAGCATAGTATTTCTAAATTAACACTGTAAAAAGGAGAGGAAGCTGGAAATTCTGATAAAGCTGTAATTTATCTCTTGTGAGTCAAATAAGAAGCAAAGATTAACATAGCTATCAGTAAGACTTCATGAAAGACTATGAACTACTGAGAAACCAAACCAGAAAGCATCATTTGCATAAGCACTCCAATTGGTTTACGTCAGTCTCAACTGCAGTATTTTTTTTACCTGAGTCTGAATGTTTCCAGGATTCTCGTCTGGTATGTAAACAACCTCACTTGCACAAATATGTGGCTTAGGAAAGATAATTCACATAGATAATTTGCATGGTTTTAGTGGTTTTTCTGCATGAAAAGAAGAGGTTTTCTACAGACATTCCCTATTACAAAGTCATAATCTGCAACACCCTGCCCCCTTGTATGAATACCACCGACAGATATTAACATTGTCCTACCATATCTCAAACAAGGTCAGTGGTAACAATGATGCAGTGGTAGGACTGTGTTTAACATTTCTCCTAGAGCCGTATTCACATTAATTACTTTACTCTTGGTTATTAAAATACATTGCTACAAGGTATCAACTTACCTACTATGTGGTTATGATGTCTTCTGTTGATGAAGGAGGGTTCTTGGTTGGCTCAAATACATAATTATGTGAACTCTAAAAACTTTGGCTATTACTGGTTTTCATGGAATTTGTTAGTAGTCCTAAGAATTACTTTTCTTTGTAGCCTAAACAAAGTAGTTTAGGTTTGAATCGGCACAGAGGTTGAAATTTCTAACGTCTTAGACCCAATTTCTCTGGAAACATGGCTAAAGGCAGGTCAGTATAGAGCAGCTCATAATGCTGCTACCCTTTTCTGTGGATAAACTGCTATCCCAGACATCTCATCACAGTCTTCAATCTGAAACATTGGATTTCAGAGAAAAATAAATACTTCTAAAATATGGAATGCTATTTTAGATATTTCTCTCTATATATTATCCTGTAGTATTGCAAAAGGCCCTGAATGCCACTGCAGAATGGCACAATAGCCACTGTTGAATGCTTTTCTGGAGAATGAAATGATTGTTTAGATCTAAAGAACCAGTGAGTATTTAATAAAGTTAAACAATTGGATTGTTTTAATCACTTTGCGTGGTTCACTGTATGGTCTATTCTTAAGTATGACTTCGATGCAACTATTGTAACAGCCAGTATCTTTGTAAGGAACTGGCACAAGAGCCTTCATCTTGCAGAAATACTGATAATTATGTTTGCTGTGCTCAAGATGGAAGTTATATTAGAAGTTTGTACAGAGTAAGCTTATTTCTGCTGAACTTCCAATGACTGTAAACATGCCATTACGGTGTACAAAGTTCTGCATGATGTGGTCGGAGAAACAATTACTGAGCACAGGATTTCCAGCATTGTGCTTTTAGAGCCTCATAACTGTGATAGTTTAACATGTGACATGATCCCTGCAAATGCACCAGATCAAGTATTCCATGATAGTATTTTCCTTTGTCAGAAAGTTTACTCAGTTAAAATGTGGGGGTTTTTTAAACCACCATTTATAATTGGTCCATTTATAATGAATAATAGGGGCTAACAGTACTATATGTAGATGAAGCATC